ATATATTATAGATATTAAATCAAAACAGTATGCTCAAAACTGTTTACTGTAAATGGTGCTTTTTCTTGTGTTTAGTAACAGTCCATTTAATTGTATTCACTTTACAATTAATGTACCCCATATTCTATTATATTTCTTTTTATATCAGATCAAGATCAAGTGTGATCTAAACAGCATCTGCTTTTAACATGTAAACAACAACCATGGAAAAGCAGATGCTGTTTAGATCAGATTTGATCTTGATCTGATATAAAAAGCACCATTTTTTTTTCATCTTCTATCACGTTGTGTTTGGTACTGTTAAAGTTTCTTCCCATATGAAAGTTAATGAAAAATATTCACAGAATAAATGGCTGACTTGTCAAAATAATGAGTCCAGACTCGGTAAAATGCAGTTTCCCTCCCAATTTGTAATTTGTTTTGACCGCAATAATAAAAAACAGAATTCAATTCTTGAGACTTTTGCATTACTACTTCCTTATCTACTTGTATAATAATCAATGTGTTCAAACCAATAAATAAATACCGAGATCTGATCTTAAAATCAGAATCTTTAAATGCTGCTGAGAACTAGTTTTAAATTGTGTGTATTATATTATTTAACATTTAATATTATCGAAAGATGGTTGCAACATTAGCATGCAACCATCGTAATTTTAATCAAAATTTATTGTTCTTAAATTCTTTATATTAATTCTTTATTTCATGAACAAGCACCAACATGCCAAACTTATAAAGCTCAATAATGAGGGAATACCAAACCAAATATAGTGTAAGAAATTATTTTATTAGGTTATACCTAGTCGTGATATTATCTGTGCTACCTTGACAGCGAATAAGCGATTGAAATTATCATGGAGTTCGAAAGTAAGTAATCTATTGTTTCTAAAATGAGCGCAAAGCTGAAAAGCTGGAATTATGTTTTGAAGTAATCCCTATTTATAGGGAAATTGCGAAAATATTCGACAACAAATCGATTAAAATTTCCTGGTTTGAGACAATAAATCTTGTTTGCTCTATATGTCGATACTGATTGTATTTAAAATCTGAAGTACACTGCGTGACTTTCAGTCCCTAGTTTATGCTAAAATGGTAATACTTGAAAAATACTTTATTGCCAGCGCGTTTTTAAACTCATAGTAGAGAAAAAATACTTTTAAAAAAGTGACTGAAAACACTCAATTCTTTCCGACGAAAACAAATTGTTGAATTCTAAATGAAAATTATTGAGTATAATAAAGTCAAAATATTCATTTTCATAAAACCTATAAAAAACTACTTTTTAGTAGCAATTTAGTATAGTTTTTGGACTAGTTATAATCTCTAAAATCAATATCGCACTATATATTTTGTAACAATTGTAAGAAAGATTATGGACAGTAATAAACTGCTTAAGTTGATACAAGAAATATTGCAGATAGACGAATGGATGACAATGCCTTCATTCGCTGCCTTCAATCACTCATTGATCCATTCAAACTATTAAACATTCTTTTGCCATTTCAACGAAAAAATTATCCTTTGAAGCAACCGATGACAATTTCGCCCATCACTTTTTTAACGAGTGATTGTTGCAAAAAGTTGCCCAAAGGGAGGAAAACCATTTTCGTTTCAAAAAAAACTTTATCACTGTAATAATTCCATTCCAAAAAAAGGAAATAATAGTGATATGAATTATGTAGTCATTATTTCAATTTTTTTTCGTATTTCACTATCAATAACAATTTATTAATTAACTTCTTAATTTTGAGAAAAATTACACTACCAAAGGCTTAATGTTGAAGTAATAATTTAGAAATGTTTGCATATATATCTTATTCAAAATAATGCTACCTTTGTTGACAAAATAATGAAATATAAGAATGCAACATGTTGAGTTACAATCATATTCCTTTGGCTCTTCTATTTTTGCTATTTAAGAAATCATATTATATCAAACTGGCTCCAAACGCTTAAGTGCTTAACATGTGTTCAGTTCAATAGCATACCAAACTTACAAAGAAACTGCTCTAAAAAGAACTTTGTTCAACTTATTTTCCTCTCAGCATATTACGAATTTAACCAATGGTAAAAACTACGCAAGTACTAATTTCTTATGAAGCATTTGCTTAACAAATTTTTATAGTCTCTAGATTTGTTCATAACATTAGAAGCCCTAATATTGCACATAACAAAAGGTAACACAATAAAATATTGGCTGAGAGCTATTTATTAATAAGACATATTTATATGCCCGAAATCATAAACCTGTAGGCCAAAAAATATTAGACAGCATTATCAAAGATATATTTGTAAAGAATGCATATTCAGTTGTATATATTATTTTTTTCAAATATTTGGTACAACTATGCTTTAATTTAAAGCTGTAAAAAGTAAAGGAAATTACAGAAAAACTAATCTTCGTAATGGTAGAAACTATATGCTACAGAATCTCATAAATGAGCAGCTGCTATATTTTATATGTATTATTGCTGAGATAGTATTTAGCTCTGTGGCTTAACTGCGATCCAAAATTTAAAATTTTTATTGCGTAAAACAAAACTCTTAATTCATATTTGCGATTAACAGAAATTAATAATTTTGCATAACTTATAGGAAGATGAAAGCTCAGTATTTATTTTTTTCGAAATGCTTAATACTAAAATTCTCTTCGTCGTTGCAAAAGAATGTCGTGTGGGGTTTTTTGGATTATGTTTCGTATTGTGTTACGTAATTGCGGATTAAACCAACTGTAGATTATAGGATTCCATACAGCAGAAGTCATTGCAGTAACATGACAAAGTGCAAAGAGTATTGAAAAAAGTGAAGAAACACCATAAAAATCACGAAAAAGATTGATTAAATTGAGCGGTAGCCAAGCAAATACAAAGCTTAACACCATGCAAACCATCATCCTGTAAAAACTTTGAAAATGTATAGCCGACAAAGTACGATTGAATTTTATTCACTATTTGTTTTCATTTTTTTAAGTTCTCTCAGCTGATTTGGTGAAATTTAAAACAATGATTCATTTCATTGCTTTGACTTATGAATTCAGATGAAGACAAGACCTATTGGATCTGGCTCTTCTGTCATGTAATCTTTTTTCACTTTCTTTTAAGAGAAATTGCTGTTCTTTCCGTTTTTCTATTTGCCGTGATATCACTTGACTTATCTTCCAGTAACATAAAGAGCAGATAATTAGTGGCAAGCAAAACTGCAAAGTTAATACTGATATCCCATATATGCGCTCCATTCGAGAACCACCATCAATAGTTGAATCAGGCCTAAAGTATAAAAGTATTTTTAGCAAATTCTAAAAATTTAGGTTATTCAAAAAGCGAAATTAATTTGAAAATGCGATGTTTTTCACTTGTTAAATATTTCAACCGAAATAGAAAGTAATTTGAATAAAATAGTATTCAACAAACTAGTTTTTAAAACATGGTCATTTCATAGTTTAATGCTAAAGAAAGTGAAAAACAATCTCTGAAATAATTATTACCAAGATTCTTCACAAAATGTTCCGCAATATGGAGAGTAAGTAACGGTGACAGAAAATATACCAACAGGTAATGACATCGTATATCCAAGAGTCCAAATACTAACTGCAATGCACAGTGTTCGTTCGAAAGTGAGTATCTGTAAGATATTTGAAAAAAAAAGTGAAAAAAACAAAAATGCGTACTTATAATAACCATCATAATTTTTAACGCTTATTATAAATATCTGTTTTCATTAGAAAGAAAAGAACTCTGCATCAGTTAATGCAACAATGTAAACAAATTAAGGGAATGGAAGGTGGCTTCATAACAGAACACATTAAATTGAATCAACTTTTTCAATCGAACAGCATTAAAAAAATCTAAGATAAAAATATAACAGATCTAAGATAAAAATATACATAATTGTTCTTAGAAAAAGTTTCTTTATGCAATAATATTTAGAACAAAAATGCATCGAACAGTTATACTTATTTCTTCGCTTTTTCAAAGCTACATGAACAATTATGGCTAATCTTTGAAATATTTTATGGTGGCTATTATGAGTATTATTTTTCTTTCTTTCTCCTTTTTCTTGAATATTTTGTAAATCAAATTAATGCAACAGAAGTTGTGCTTTCCGCTTCTCTTCTCCTGTATTTATGACAATAATTAAAGTGTAAAAACTCTATTTTAATAGTAAAAGTATTATAGTTGTGAGTATATTGCCTTTTTATTCGGAAATACTATGAGTAATAAACGATCAACGGCAACTGCAGTAAACGTGAAACTAGAGACGAATATACTGCCTCCCTGAAAGAGCTACAAATTAACATCCGACCACATTACTAGGAATTATTCACCTAAATTAATTTTTTAAACTTTTGAGAGCAAGTTTCATAATAATTGAACATTTGAAAAATATAATAATCATACAAATTTTGCTTTCACAAACGCAAGAAAAAATATTATGACCTGGAAAATCCCAATAAGTTTGCAAAATACAGGTGGAAATACCCAATCTCTGGTAAATATAGTCACTGCCGTCACTGGAAGACTCGTTAGTGATACAACCACATCACTTATTGCTAAATTCCCAATAAATATCGTTCGTACTGATAATGACACCTGAAGCTATGTCGTTTTTTCAAATCACAAATTGACCTCTCATCTTTTTCATAGTTATAAAAGTTTTATATTAATTTACTCATAAAATAAATAATTTTTTTAAAGCTCGTTAAAAACTATTCCCAGTTGAGACAAAAGAATTTTCAATATGAAATGTAATGAGTTATTAATATTTATGCTCATATAGCACTATGGCAATTCTAGCAATTCTACTACTACTTAATAGGAAAATCTACTCCTATTTCCTGTTAATTTGTGTAAGATTTGAATTTTGTTATCAAAAATATATCATAGTTCATTGAAAGTCAACAGACTTATAGGAGAATTAACTTTTAACTAAAAAATTCATCACTCGTTTATTTTCGGTGCGATAAGAAATAGTTTTTTTCAAAAGAATATGGCAAGCAAACAGCAAAAATTGTAGCAGTTTCAAAAAGGAAATTTCTCCAAAAATTGCTTAATATTAAAAATTAAATTAACTAAATTAAAAAAAAAAAAGCACCTGTTTGATAACAACAATATATAATACAATGAAATTGCCGAATACTGCAGAAATCCATATGAGAAAGTACAGAAAAGAGAATATGATTTTAACATACAGTTCATCCACTTTATCAGGTAAAGCATCCTGTATCGGTATGCATTCATCAGTAAATTTTCTCCACATGAATTGATGCCAAATGACAGAAGTACCAGAAATGCTTTCATTCATAGAATAAAGTTTATCAGTTTACAGAATAAGATTTACAAATGAACAAACAATAATAGCCTGAAACAATAATGCTTTTTATTTTCATCGTTTTTATTGCAGTAAACTTTTATTATAAAATATTTGATATATTCTGCATCAGTTAGGGTATCCAAGAATTAAAACAAATCAGAAATAAACAACAAAAACAACTATTTCCTTAAAAGAAAAAGGTTAAAATCTGTTTGGATATCATCAATCCATGAAAAGTTTTTACATCAGAGAAAGTATGCATATCAAATGACATAAAAATCTTAAATAACATTTGCCTTGGTGTTTTTTCACACAGCTTTACTCAAAAAGTTTTTTCTTCAGTTTTCAAATGGCAAACGAAAGAGTGATGAGTGATAATTTCTAAATGCTAATACCAAAAAAAATTGTTTTATTCATTTATTCAAGCAAAACAAACTCTAGACAAAGTATATGGTATTACTAAGATTTATTAATGACGCAGAAAACAAAAAATATCAAAAAACAGGTGTAAGTTCTTTAGTGCTTATACATATAATTACATATAAATTTACTAATCATCCATTTATCATGTTTACGTCAATCAGAAGTAAATTTACATGAGTCTTCTTCACTTGTTCAAATGATGAAATAGATCAAATGTAGTAAAATTATTAAAAATAAGATTTACGATCAGTATTGTAATTTTGATAGAAAGCAATATAGTTGTAGTTTGCTGACTAACAATATGAGCTTGCTCTCCACATAATTTATAAGTGACTCTTCGCAGTTCAAAGTATTAATAAATGGAAAGCTCACTTATAATTAATTCATCTTTCTTGTCGTTGGAGTGAAGTAGCTAAAAAGGTGATCAGTTGAGAATCAAATATTATTAGTCACAAAAGAGAGTAAAAGATTTAACAGCAAAACAATATCAATTCATATGTGAATTTTATTGATCCAAATGTAAAAAACTGGAAAAATAGGTGAAAAAAAAACTGATCGGTAAATGAAAGTTAAAGTTGTTTCTTTAATTTGAAATCAGGGAAAATTTAATAAAAATTTTCTATTCTTACTCTAGTAAGAAAGGAAAAGGCAAAAATATTAAATCCCTTTTGTGTTCTTTCTTTCTCTCCAATTTCTGACGTTTCCATTACTGAGAGAAGATAAGATTATTTAAATTGTTAGCTACCCACGTTTGCTCGCACATTAATAACAGTCATAGTGAATAATTTTTTTCACTTAAGACTCAGATGACACTTAAATATGTAATTCAAAAACAAATATTAGTAATCACATCTAAACAATTAACAGTTTAATTTATTCATTCGTGAATTGTTTATGTTTTAAAAGCAATATTTCCTTAGAAATATGCATATTGAGGCTTATTTCATAAATTTTTCACAAAAAACTTCGCCAATTTACGTTTTATTTGCAGCTTATGTTTGCTTCTACTCTATCTTGATTATTAGCTGATCTTTAGTTTTTTGTTTAAGCAGATAAGTTTGACAATAAAGTTCAACTAAAACTTCTTGTCTCTCACTTGACATTATAATATACCAAGAAAAAAATTAATTTCATTATGCTTAAGTACTTTAATTTCAATCGACATTTTGGGCTACAAAAGATGTAGTTATAACTTTTTATTAGACCGTGACAGTAAAAGTAAATTCATGAGTTATCACAACAGCCACTAACATTTATAATACCTATAATGAGATTACTTATCACCTTGTATAATGTATTAGTTTCCATTTGAGATTAGTTGCTACATGTAATTTTGAGATATTGTAATATCGCCATGACAACTTTTTAGGTTTACTTTGAGCTAGTACCTAAGGAAGACAGAAAAGTAGCATTTATAAGTCAACAGTAAATTTAAATTATAGCTTTCTTCTAGATTATTTTTATGACAACTTCATAAAGTTAGTGAATCAAAAAAGTGAAATCTTTTAGTGACACTAATATTTACTTCAGAAAGCGATATTCCTAAACGTAGATTATGCACACGTCAATTTCATCATTACAGCGTGAATTTTGAATCACATAAGCTTTTTAGAATTTTTTAGAGGAAATTGACATTGTTATTGCAATAATTAAATAATTTTGGTTGATTGATAAGAAAATTTGTACAAATGTTTAGGCACAAAAATTTTAATGCCATGAAATTAATTTGCCTTTTTGTTTTGCCAACTAAACACACTGATGCACACTTGACACTCTCAGCAGCTTAATAGTAGTTCCTGTCTCTCTGCACAGCTATAGATGTGTTTGCAATTAAAATCTGTTTATTGTTAAACAACAGTCAGTAAAAAAGGCAAAAATAAACTCATGTTTTACGTCTTCAATCGAGATATTGATAAAAATAATAAGTAGTGAATTGAGATAAATAATAAGAGCAATCAATTTACACTGAAAAGTGATCAAAAAAGGGCAATTTTGACGAACAAATCCTGGAAGTGCAAGTGTAATTAATAAGAAGCGTATTTCAAAAAATTAATTTTCATCTAACAAATTTTTGTAAAAGCCATCTTTTGAATTCTTTGCTTGATTCATTAAAAAAATTGAAAGTTCAAAAATCATGTTTTTTTAGTACGAAAATTTCGTATTTATCAGTAATATGCAGTTGTTAATCAAAAAGATAATTTCCTTTGCATTTGTAAATATTTTCTATTATTAAACTATATTGCTCATTCAAAGTTATTTCAAAATGGAAGCTAATAAGTGATTAACAAATTCAGCTCAAAACTATAACTATATAAGATTATGAGTCATGAATTTGATAAATAATGATGCTTAAAATTTCATAAAGATTAGAAGATTGGAAGCAATTAGATGGATGTAAATATAACAATTCTAGCTGTAAGGATCAGTAATAAAATTTATTGAGAAAATAAGAACACTGGAATCAGAATCCAACTACTTTTTAGAACATTGAAACTTGTAATAACTAGAAATATATTTAAGCAATAGTATGAAAACTTAAAAACAATGCAAATAATAATATTTACAATAAACAAGCAGAAAACAATGGTCATGACCAATTCTGTATTTCAGCTTATTAGGTCATTATCATGTCTTATGGATAATGTATAACACCAAATCCTTAGTATGTTTAATTTTTTTTCTCTTTGTAATAGTTGTAAATCATTTCATAGCCGATTTGATAAGACATTTGCTAAGAAACGATATTTATAAGCAACAGTACGAGTTGAAAGCTGCGACAACTATGATTCGAAAAAATTTAACAGTTTCGTTTTCAGCTGAGAATTTTCGTGTTTTCTGACAGCACAACAGACAAATTCTCACTAATTTAAAAAAAATGCACAATGCTATTTTTTTTCAAATGTAACTGAGTCAGTTCAATCCTGTACTTCACATTTTGCAATTAAATTTTCCTTAATAAATTCCTAGTTATTTATGAATTATTTGTTCCATGAAGAAAAATTTTAATTTTATTTGTAATGGATTTTTCTAGTTCATCATTGACTTTTCCTAAGCAGTTTCTGTACGCAAAAGATTACTTTTAAACGCAAAGTTCTTTCTTCATCATCACTTCAGTATTCTAGCAGTCTTTTCTATTAGAGAAATCAAAATTATTCTGCTTGTTTTTCATAAATTTCCGTAGATTATTTCCACCTATTTTTAATTATTTTTTTCATCACTAGCAGATCAAAAATTTCTTTTAATACTTGTTAAACGGTCCTTTTACTAGACTGTTCTATGCTGATTTATTTGATTTTCAGTTTTTTTATAGTTCTAAACTGTTCGAATTTAATGTCTTAATCGAATCACATTTCAATTTTTTTCATCTGTTTCTTCATTTGTGCTCATTTTTTCTCAAAATTTCTACAGAATGCATTTCCGCACATGTCATGTAGTGAAAATTTTGACACTTTAATTGTCCGCATTACTTCTCAAAGCTTCAAATTTTCACAGCGCTGCATCAATTCTCACATGATTTTATTATAAGTCTAATTATGACAACTCAACGTAATTTTGAATGTGAAGAACAATCGATTATTTGTTCACCTTTGCATTCTTTGATGAGAATTTTGCAAAAAATTTTATAATTTTTTGGCGTTTTTTTATAAACATTTATTTTTCAAGGTAAATAATTTAAGATAAAATTAGATGATACATTTGCATCAATTACTGCTTAGTTACAAAGGCGATCATTTGAAGCTGATTCAGAATCTTTCCTATTATCATTAATTACGAATGAATCCTTTTAATGAATAATTTTGTCAAGTGTATTTTATCTGATGGAGATTAAAAAAAACTGACCGCTTCGTTTTTTTATTTTTTTCTAATTTGATCGGTTCTATTTTGACAAATTTAATTTCCTTCCTTTCATCTTAATAACTGACATTTCTTACGTTTTCTTGTTTGTTCAAGTTGACGTTTATCTACTTAATGTAGCATATATATAAGCATATCACTTTCTTCACCTACTGTTTTTTTACAAATCTTACTTGCGACAAATATTTATTTGGTGCTTCTGTAATTTGCCTGATTCTACCTTTATGAAGTTCGTCACATGCAAAACCTTTGTTCCAAGTGATATTTTTGTCGGATATTGCCTTCTCGCTTATTACATTACAAATGAAGAATAAGACTGTTTTATCCTTATAAAGGAATAGCAATGAAATAGGGAAAAGAAAACAAACTACTCATTATGTGAACATAAATTTATACTACCTTAACTTCATATGTTAATTAAATCAAAATATTATATTTATTTTCTAGCTGCGAAAATTTGATCTATCACGACAATATGAAAGCAATCAGTTAGTGACTTTAACCAAAAACTGTTACATGCACATTGCAGAGATGAACGAATTTCGGTGTTACTTCTGTCTTAACTGTATTTGAATCACGCCTTTGCGTCTGCATCAGCACAAATGACTATCATTGATTGACATCTTTTTAAACTACTCTTTATATTTTTTTGCTGTCTTATTATAATG